GATCAGTGATCTCACAGCATGGGGTGAGGGAGCCGAGGGGGAGGCCGAGGGTGGACTTTCTTTCTGTGGACTTCATATTCGCCCTTCATCTTACACAACGAATAGTTTATCTTGTTAGCGTGAGTGGTGTTCGTTTTCTATTTTCTGGTTATTTATGGCCATCATGGAGAAATCGTTTTGAATTTTATGTTTATCTTGGTCTGGACTCTCCAGTCACTTCTCACGATTTGTGGAGCCTACTGGGTTTTCCCGTATGGCTTTGGAACCCGGGAGGAAAAGAGAGACTCTCCTGATGACGTCTCCGGTCTGGGCCCTGCTGGAAAAGTCCCAAGGAAGGGTTTCTGCCGTCCACCCTGTCCTGGGCCGGTCGCTGTGGCGGGGGCGGCGCCGTCCGGGCATGGGGCTCACAGTGAGCATGGCTGGGCCACCAAACACACGCAGGGCGATGCCATTGCCTCATCTGATGCCCGCACTGCTGCGTGGCTGGGCAGCAAGGGCCCCTCCAGGAGGGACCCCAGGCTGAGGCTCCTGCTCACACTCACAGCAGGTGATCACGTTCAAATTCATCAGGGGCACCATCGTCCGCTGGGAAAAGGGTTCTTCAAAATCCATTTTTCACGTTTTGCCTTGATGTGTTAAATCCATTTTCCATGCAGTGCTAAAAAGAAATGGGTCTTTATGCCATGAAAAGCCACAGAGGAACCTTAAATTGCACTTTACTCAGTGAAATAAGCCGACCCGAGAAGGCTAAGACCGATTCCATCCAAACAGGATTCCGGAAAAGGCAAAACCAAGGAGACAGTGAAAAGCTCAGTGGCTGCCAGCAGCTGGGAAGGGTACAGTGGGTTTTTAGGGCATTCAGTATCCGCTCTGCAGGATACTGAAACGGTGATTCCGTGAGAACGCACTCACCCAAACCCGCAGCAGGCACACACCAAGCGACCTCGTGTGAGCTGTGGATGTCAGGTGATGACGGCGCGTCCCTGTGGGTCTATCAATGGTGACAGATGCGTCACACGAGTGCAGCATTATAATAGGGGAAACTGAGGCAGGGGAAAGAGGGTGACATATGAGAATTATATTGTCTGCACTTTTTCTGTAAACCTAAAACTGCTGTAGAAAATAAAGTCCATTATGTTTTTTAAAGTCTGTCTTGCAAGAGAAAGGAGAGGGAAGGGAGTGGGGATGCCAGTGCTAGGCGCCAAGCAGCACAATCCTGGGTCTCCGCAGGTCCACGTGCCCAATGGCTGGCCCAGGGTGGACGATGCTGCTACTGCTGCTGCTGCTGCCGCTGGGGTCCTTGGTGGGGTATGGGCTGCAGAAGCAGCAGATGAACCTGTCTCATAAGGTGGGTGCCAGTGGCCCCTGATGCCCCTGCAGGGGCTGCCACCTGCCCGCAGGGGCTGCCACCTTCTGTCAAGAGGCTCTCAAGGCCGGGCGCGGTGGCTCACGCCTGCAATCCCAGCACTTTGGGAGGCTGAGATGGGCGGATCATGAGGTCAGGAGATCGAGACCATCCTGGCTAACATGGTGAAACCCCGTCTCTACTAAAAATACAAAAAACTAGCCGGGCGTGTGGTGGGCGCCTATAATCCCAGCTACTCGGGAGGCTGAGGCAAGAGAATGGCGTAAACCCAGGAGGCGGAGCTTGCAGTGAGCTGAGATCTGGCCACAGCACTCCAGCCTGGGCAACGGAGCAAGACTGTCTCGAAAAAAAAAAAAGAGGCTCTCAAAGCGACACAAAGTGTCTTCCTGGATGAAACCCTCCCGGAGGCCACACTCGCTCTCCTGGCCACACCCCCGGCTGTGCTGCCTAAGCACATTTGAGGCTATGGGATGGTGACCCCAGCACCAGGAGCAGCACTGGGGCCACTACGGCCGCGGTCAACCAGACAGGAAGGAGCAGGGCCGCGTGGGAGCTGCACCGGTGCACACTTCTGTTTTTCAAAATATACCCATTTTTCTTTTTTATTTCATTACTTTTTAAATTTGTGTGCGCGTGTGTGATGAAGCCTCGCCCTGTTGCCCAGGCTGGAGTGCAGTGGTGCGATCTCAGCTCACTGAAACCTCCACCTTCCCAGTTCAGGCGATTCTCCTGCGTCCGCCTCCTGAGTAGCTCGGCTTACAGGCTCCCACCACCACGCCTGGCTAAATTTTGTATTTTTAGTAGAGATGGGGTTTCACCATGTTGATCAGGCTGTTCTTGAACTCCTGACCTCAGGTGATCCACTGGCCTCGGCCTCCCAAAGTGCTGAGATTACAGGCATGAGCCATTGTGCCTGGCCAGAAAATATACCCACTTTTAATAAAGTTGTTATTTATGTTAACAGGCAATGGGATTCCTATTGTTATCTTTAAAATCTCTCAGTTTTAGGGTCTAATGCAGTAACGTCAGTAGACATAGCCTCATCCACAACACTCTGAGCAAGCAAGACCAGAGGTCGCACACACGGTGGTGCCTTCTGTGTGTGTGGGTGGGGGGTGGCTACAAGCCTTGGCACGGGGGGGCGGGCCTGGCTGTCAGCTCACCTCTGCTGGCTGTGTGATCCCGGGCGCCGTGCTCGCCCTTCCTGAGCTTGTTTCTTCTCCTGTAAAATGCCAGGCACTGGGCCAGCCCGAGAGCTTCGCCCATGCTCTGCTGCTGCATCCTTGCCCTCAGTGCCTTGGTTTACCCTCTTCCGCATGGCTCACGGTAGACATTCCCTTTCTCAGCCCTGGGCCCCCAGCACTGACCTGCCAGAGCCACGGCAGTCTGGGTTTGTTCCAGAAACTTCTCAAGGAACCCAAGTTTGAAGGATGATGACACAGAGGAGCCAGAGAGACGGGAGGCCCTTCCTGAGTACTGGGTCTGCAGGCCCTGCCCAGGAACAGGTGAGCGAGCTGGTGAGTGGCATTTCAGGTCATCGGGGAGCCATGCAGGAGCCATGAGGAGTGCCAGAGCAACTGCTGTACCACCAACAGCCTGGACCCACACACGCTCTGCACCCCTAAGACCATCCTCCTGCAGTGCCTGCCCTGGAAGAAGGTGAGGTGCATGCGGGGGGTGGGGGGCAGAGGAGCGAAACTGCTTGTGGCCCCCTCCCACTGCCCCGGAAGAGCCAGGGAGTGGATGGTGGGTGCAGGGGTGAGGCGTCTCCTGTCCCATAGCCCAACGGGTACAGATGCTCAGACAACTCAGAGTGCCAGAGCAGCTGCTGCGTCCGCAACAACAAGAGCCCGCAGGAGTTCTGCACATCCCAAACCATCTTCCTGCAGTGTGTGCCCTGGCGCAAGGTGAGCTGCGGGCACCTGGGGCGGATGGAGCAGGGGTAGCAGGAGATGGCCCCTCTCCACGACCACTGCCTGGCTGCCTCCCCAGCCCAACGGCAACTTCTGCAGCAGCCACCAGGAGTGTAGCAGCCAGTGCTGCATCCAGCTGAGGGAGGACAGCCCCTTCCGCTGCATGCCCCGCACCGGGATCCTGGCCCAGTGCCTGCCCCTGGTGAGTCCCGGGTGGGGGCTCAGCCTCCAGGCCCTCCCCTGGCCGTAACAGGGAAGTCACACAGAAACCCAGCAACTGGCCAGGTCCGGGCCGTGAGAGGTGGGCTCTGAACTCACGGGGCGGGCAGAGCACCCAGGCACCCCAGCTCGGAAAGGCTGGCGCTTCACCACCCATCTCATAAAGTGGGGGCCGCAGAGAAGGCTCCTGGGCTGGCACTGAGCCCACCAGGCCCCGCAGGGCACGGGTGCCCAGTCAGAGACTGTCAGAGCCTGCGGGGCTGCGGGGAGGGGGACCCAGGACCAGCCCCCCGTAGGAGCCGAGGTTGAATGTCTTCAGGCCAGAGAGGGAACGAGCCCTGGAGGAAGAGGGTCCTGGCTTCTCCCCTCCCTGCCCCTGGCCGCTGCTGTGGTTTTCCCCGACGGGAGATCCATGGGATGAGCCTTGCGGTGCAGGCTCCGACTCTGCCGAGCCCTGGGGTCCGGGGAGGGGCCGGGTTGTCAGCGGCGCAAACGCTGTGGGGCGCAAATGTGTTTGCTGGAGCCCAAAGCTCCCATGTGGGGTGAAAGGGTCCCAGTCCCCACAGGTGACGCTTGTTCACAGCCCTCGGTACCACCAGGCCCCGTCGTGGGCGCTGGGAGCAGCTCCGGGCGTGTGGCGCTGCTTGTGGGCGTCCCTCTCG